TAGCGCACATAACCCTCGTGTAGCTTTGCGCGAAATTCAAAAACAAACTAACTAACTAACCGTCCCTAATTTTTAAGTGATAGACTAGAGGGAAGGCAACTAGTCAATACCATCTACTGCTAACTCTTAAACTACTCTAATCGAATAGCGGGATTTGGCCGCTACTCTTATAACGCACCCACAGGTGTGAATAGCTTTTTTTTTTCAGTTTTTAACGATAATGGGGCGTAGGAAACCCCAGTCCAGCACGCAAACTACTAAGCCGCGCTGGGCCCCACGAAACATGGACCCTTGGATATACAGTACAGCACGCTAACAATTAGAACCCTATAGAGGAGAAGGTAAAATGATTTAAAACAGTTTTTTTTTTTACACGCTTATACTTACCCTTTTGGAATCTTACTTTATATAACAATCGCTACTTACACTTAAAGCATCCTCACTGATGATGTCAAAGGTTGCATTTTATAGTTTTCAAAAACAAAAAAGGAGACAACAAAGTTTGTTAGTAATGACTGTTGCTGCTGTTGATGATTTGAGCTACACGATGGGCTATCTGCTATCTGCCCACAGCAGGTTATAGGGTCCCGGTTTTAGCATTTTTTAAATCCGTAAACGTATTACTGACCCACCATGGGGACATGAAGAATGAACTTAAAAATGCTATTTTTCTCATAGGTTATTAGTTACTGAAAATATTTTTGGCGCTGTCAAATGTAATTTTAATATATTATTCCCGCAAGCTAAAATGATCCTATTTCTTCAACAGATGCTCATTCTCTGTAAATTAATGAAATCAATTACATTTATAAGCAACTGAACAAGCTGATATCAACATAGAAAAGTTTTGATATTTGTATTTTTTTTTTGCAACAAGACAATGAAGAACTTTTTTAAATTTAATTTCTAATTACCAAAATAAAATTGAGAACTTGTGACACATCGATTAATTTTGTCTTCTTTGGCAAAACGGTTACGGACAAATGAGAGAAAAAAAAAAGGTTGTACAATGTCCTAGATA